TAAATTTTACCATAAATTGACATTATAAAAATATATAAAGATAGGTCGCTGAATACCGGAGTACCAATATACAGGGTTTTATTAGTTGTAAATAAGGATGTCCAAACGGATTTAAAAATCGATGTATTGAAGTAATCAATATATGATATAGATCGCAATTCATATATCGATAATATCAAAAAAAATTAACATATATTACTTATAAATTAATAACTGATGCATAAAAAAAATAATACAATTTATATATATATATCATAAAATAATATAAGAAATACATTTTTTCAAAATTTTACAGTAAACAAATTAAACAACAAAGGTACATTATGGAAAAATACTAACTGAAAACTTGTTAAACTGAGAATGGTCATAATAATAATCATAAATTAACATAATAATTTTTTTTATATGTTAATAGTGAACAAATAAAAAACTTACGTAAATAAAACTGTTGAATAGTATGTTTTAAGATTTTCAACATCACCATTTGATGCTTTATAAACTTTATTACATGTTATACATTTGTAACTAATGAATTGATCTTTGTGATAAAAACTAACAACTGATTTTTAGTATTATTAACAGCCATTTTAATTATTTAAATTACAAATCGAAAAATACAATTTATTCAAATAGTAAGCATACTCTTACGACGTAAGAGCTTATGATCTTACGACGTATAGGAAAACGACGAGACGACGAGAGAACGTTGCTAAGTTGTAAATTATTTCAATGTGATTAACAAACTCTCAGTCTTTATATCATTGATTATAAATAGTATATATTTATAATCAATAGTAATATGTATTAATTCGTCACTTATATAATTGATTATAGAATCACTATAGATATCCGATAAATCAGGAACCCCAAAGATTCACTTTGTCAACTTACCCGCTAGTTGCGCAACGGGTCTTTCTGCTAAACACTACTAAATACTCCTACTAAGAAATTATAAAAGAGACCTTTTTATTTACAAGTAATATCATTTTGGTATAATTTCTGATTTATTATATTATATAGGGAGTTTTATGTAAATATTGATTAGGTACTCAAAAATTTGATTACTGAGGAAAATAATTATGAATATATTTAAAAATAATCGAGTTTACTAAATTTTAAATTTTAAACCCAATGTTCAAAAATGTTGTCAGGGCAATATCATCTGATTTTTCTATAAAAGGGTAATAGTTGGTTGATTTTGTAAATAATATCCTAGTCATACAACACAAAATTGCTCATTTTATTAAAAATGGAATGAAAATTTTTGTGAGACAAAAATAACTTTAATATTTCAAATTTTTTTTAAACTTTTTTCTTACGCTTGAGAAAAATATGGATACATGCAGTTGATGAGAGATTTTATTATAATAATCATGACACTGGTAGTTCATAGCAAATGGATGCACAAATGTTGAGCTGTTATGGTTTTATATTTCGTCTTTATACAGTTTTCTTTGGAAATATGGAGCTGGCTGTTTCGGAGACCGTTCAATTTGTGTTCATATTCAATTCATAATTTTTATTTTTTCGTTTACTTGTCGATTGTGTCAAACTGTCAATAAAATATTGTCAAAAAAACCCATTTGAGCATTCTTTAACTTTTATTTTGACAACTGAGTATTTGAAATTCTTCAATGGCCTGTTTAATTTTGCAGTGTCATAATTTACGACAAGAATTCATTAGATGTAACTGCAGTCAGTAGTAAAATTAAACATTATGATAATACGCACATTTTGTTTCACACGCGCTTTAAATATTTTGTTGTTAATTCAATATTTTGATGGTTTTGAGCGTACATAAGGTCATAGGTGAACCTAGAGTTTTACATTTGAATGTGTTCTGATATTTTTTGAAGTTATTTTTTTTAAATATAAAGGGGAGGCTATAAACAAATTAAAATTGTTATTGAACACAAAGTTTACGATAGTAATATAATTTTACTAAGTGTCTATGAGTTGCTTGATTCACATCACGTTAACAATAACAATAAACAAGTACGTGTAGACCATGTAACGATTTAAATTCTAAAAATAAAGGCTTTGTTAATAGTGTAAAATATTTTATTTTTATTTTTATATAACGATTGGTAAAAAAACATGTAATTATTATTTCAGACTTATTCTGAACATTTGCAGTATTACTTACAAAAAAACTAAAATTTAATTAATATGTAACTATATTCTTAATTTTTACTATTCAATTTTTTTATTCACATTAGGGTGTACCATATGTGCACATATGTCACACCTCGTAGATCCTTCTATACATGAGGTACTCAAAACAACTTTAATGATGAGTATTTTTTCTTATTTAGATTGTGTTTAATTTAACCATTAAAACAATTTATAATTTTTCGTTTTAAAAATAATGTTAGATACTTTCAGATTATAATATTTATAACATTATTTATCAACTTATTGGTCATTTACATTCACAATAATTATACGATGATTATAGATAAATAATTTGTTGGTATCATAACGAGTAATGACTATTCATGGTATTCTAAACACGGAACATAATATTTCAGATACACATGAGACTAAAAATTATTAAATTATTTGTATTACGTTTGTTATGTACAACCAAAAAATGCCAATACAAATTTATATTATTTATATTAATTAAGTATTAATTATATTTGACACAAGATACTACTATTCAAAAGATACTTGAAATAATGAAAAGAAAACTTTTCTACCTCGAGTCTTTTAACATCAAAAATAGATTTATAGTTAAAAATTTCAAAATGTCCAGGAAAAAGTACACCTGTATGAAAGTATTTTTTTAATAGTTTAATAATCAAGAATTAGTACATCATAGGTATAATATAGACGTTGAATTATCTTATGAAATCAGAATTGAATAATTCTGTAGTTAGTAAGTCATATGCAGGGAACGGACTTTGATGAAAAATACATTTTTTAGTGGGTAGAATAGGGCAATGCTTTCTAAGTGTATAATTCGATTCATACATCAGAGAATTTAATAATGAAACTTTTATTTTGCATTTTTTTGCATTTTTTAAACTTTTTCAGTTTTTAAAGCATTTTTTGACATTTTTAGAGCATTTTTCCATTTTTAGGTAATTTTTCGTATATATTTGTTGCTTGGAATTATACAATTTTAGTTATTCTTACGAAGATCGGCTGATTGTATCTATCTATACGGCTATACGTAATTCCTATCAAATAATCTCGATAACGTTACGATACGCGATATAAAACAAATTGGTGTCCGATTATTAGTAGGTACTCATAGAGTCGTTAGTCGTTAGTCGTGTTCGCTATCGTAATTCGAATAAGTGTGAAAGATGCCGAAAATTAAGCTGTCCGATCGTTGTCGTTTGCGTGTGTATGTACAAGAACTCGGTGAAAACAGTTAATAATTATTAATTAACATAAAACATTTTTCAGGCTAAAAAAAAAGATAAGCGAAAAGACAAAGAGTTTTTTTTTTTTTGTATATATTTAAATATTTTTTTTATTAGATAAATTTTTTATAATAATGAATTTTTTATAAATTTTAAGTTTTTATAATATTATACACACACAAAACTGTTCAAAATTTTGTTTTTATCGAATTTAATAAAATTTTTAATGTTTTTAGTGCATTTTTTTGATATTAAAGCATTTTTTTAAGGCATAAGGTCGTATTTTTTACGAACATTTTTCTTATTTTTTAAGACATTAAAGTCCGTTCCCTGGTCATAAGTAAGAAATTTGTCATTACCCAACATTAGAGTAAAATCTATTTTTCTAGTATTTTGAACTTATTTGGACTGATAAAAAATATTATTTGCTGGATAGTTAGAAACTGATAGTATTTGTCTTTTGTCGTATGATAATATAATTAGTATGGTTCATGGTGGTAATGAATTGATATATTACCAACACATAGTGGTATCTAGATTAAATGTAAATCAAAATACTTGTAATTTTAAATTATTTGAAGATAATTGAGTTCATGTACTTAGTACAAGTAACTATGGTTAACATAAAAATCATTACATATTGAAACCACTACTCCTACCTGCATTTTAATATAATTTTGAGGAATTTACGTTAGATAGTTCATCTGTTATTGCATTAATTATCTTTTTCCATCATATGGCCCAAAGTATTCCTTAAGGGCCAATGATATCCTAGTTGACGGTAGGTATATATATTGTTAATGATTGATTTAATTTAATTCAAGAACTTTTGATATTATCACATTTAAATTAACCTAAGTATTTATTCCAATTTCATTTATTTAATGAAAAGATTCATAAAATCCAAAATATTTTTAACTAAAATTATACTAAATTAAGCTACTCATATTTCTGTTGTTATTGTCCATTGTTTCAAGAGCAATCGAAACTTGTGATACAATTGTTTTACATCCTTCTTCTTGAGTTTGTCCTGAAATTTAAAATATAATTTTAAAATTAATTTGAGTGGTATTATAATAGTAATTAAATGTAGATACCAAGTAGTTTAATGGCTAAAAATTAGGGCTTGTAATTGAAAAAATAATTTTGTTTTACGTTATTTACAATCAAAACGTTATACAAATTTTGAGTTTATCGTTATTCAAAATTTAAACGTTATTCAACTTTTGTGTTTATCGTTATTCAAAATTAAAACGTTATACAATTTTTGCGTTTATTTGATAATTGGAAATGAATTATTTCGTTTAATGGAATATAATATATACCGTTTTGCGTTATGTTTTGTTTAATGATATATCATATATTTTTTTAAACGTTACGTTTTGTTTTGTGTTATTTATTTATTTATGTTTATCGTTTTCCGTTATAATTACGTTTACAAATTTCAATCGTTTTTTATCAAATATAACGTTATAATCATAACGTTATTATAACGTTTGCAAGTCCTGCTAAAAATATTTCATTTTTTTATCTAGTGCATCCAAATTCTGTGCGAAAAAAATTGGAATTCCATCTGCGGTTTTTTTAGTCAGGTATAGGAATGTGTGCGCAATTTTTTTCAAACAAGTACGAATTTATATAGATTTATAACAATATATAATAATATACAATTTTTTTTGTATCCAATCAATTAATCAATTTACCTATCTAATATTTTATGCTATTCAATAAATAATGTATTTTATTTTTTTCATTTTTATAGAATTATTATTTATCGAGCTTCAGGTTAAAAATAATAATGTTTATAGAAAAATATGCAATTTAAAATAAAAATAATTTAAAATGTATATGAATAATAAAAATGAAAATACATATATAATATATAAATAAATATAATTTAAAATTGTGGGTACATTTTTAAAAACCAATTTTTCAATGAATTCCAGGCGGGTTTATATCATATTTTATTTTCATATTCATACATCGCGTCGCCAATTAAATCTTTTTTTGTAAGGTCATTGGCTTTAATTAGATTTTTTTCTAATTTTTTTCTATACATATATATAAAAGTAGAAACCTGTCCTAAATAAATCCGTTTAAACGTACCGCGCACGTAACTTGGACCTACCGGTGATAAACTGCGAACGCAATTCGGACTTGCCATAAATAAACCACGAACGCAACTTGGTTGTTGTAAAAAAATATTTTTTTCGCACTTTATTCAGATCGGGTTTTTTATCATATGGGTTTTCTTTTAATTTTAATTATAAAAATGTAATACTGCATATTTCAATTTTTTGGTCAAATATTTTTGTATGCTACTTAAATAATTCAGGAAAACCAATGTTTTTATATCCTAAGAGATCATTCTTGTTGGTATATTGATAAAAATATTTATACAACAATAAATAATTACAAGATATTATAAAACAATTTTTATGATTACAAGATATTTTATCATATTTAATATTAGTACAAGAGAGAAAATTTTGAAATATTTTCTAAGTATAGATATTAGGAATTTAAAACTTAATTTTTTGGTACAAATTATAAATTATAAAAAAAAAACCATAAATCTATAAATAATTCAACCTGTAATATATTTATTGTTTTATAAATTATTTAAAAAAATAACATTAATTTACAATGGTAAAATTAATATATCTATGTCCCCAATATGAAGGAATAAAAATCAAAGTACTTTGTGAATTTACATGCGCAGATGGTGGTAAGTTACCGTGTGGATGTAGACGTTTTGATATGGTTCTCAATACAGGCATTCGTTTCGTTGCTGTCTTACAACACCCAAACTGCAAAATTGACTTGTATGCTTTTCTATATTGTTTGTTCATTATAACGTATATAATTGGATTGAAGCATGCTGATATATAAAGCATGACATATGCAATTAAATGAAGAACTGAAATATGTATGAAAACCCATTATAGATTTATTAAAAGTTAAGCAACGTGTATTCATATTACAATCGTTTAAATATTATTGGTCTGATTAAAAGTACAGATTAGTACATATGCTAGTATTATACTAGTTGACTTACATACATACATATTATTAAGTTAAAATTTATTTCATTCAATAATAATACGCCAATATAATGTTCTATCATCCTCATAAGTTGTATTTCAATTTTAGAATTTTTTATACACGTGTGTCTGCTACAGATAAAAATAATGCACTTTATTTAGTGAGCTATGTATACCAACTATATTTTCTCGCTCTCAGGTATTGACTACATTTATCATTATTCTTGATTTACAAAGAAACTCATAATCTTTGATTAGTCTTACCAGCTATTTTTATACATATATACTATGATTTGTTTTCTATTTATATTGATAGAGTATATTTTTTATAGCCAAAGGAATAATTTTTTTTTAGATTTTATATTCTTGGTGCACTTTAGCCATATATATATATATATATATACTCATATACATAAACATACATTTATAAATAAAAAACAATAACATTGTTATATGAAAAATAATAATACAAGTACTAAAAATTTAGCTCTTGTATGAAGAAAAGATTAAATTTTTGGGTATTTGGGTATTATAACCTAATCAACATGTTTATTATGAAACAATACTATCTTCTATATGAATTGAATTTATGTGAAATATATGTATTTATCTTAAAATAATAAAATACTAAATAGTTTTAAATTTTTATTTTTTTTTTTATATAAAAACTTAACGCAATAATATTTATAAATAATAACAATGATAAAGGATTTATTTTTATTAAAAAAAAAATGATTTTCTTTTAAGCAAAGATTATCAGACATCAGTTCTATCGGTGCACATTCAGTCTAAAACTTGAGAGTGCTAAAATTATTCACGCCAAGTTGATCCGTAGAGGGCAAAATCACCTATCTGGTGAAAATGTTTCAGTTTTTTGATTTAGTTTTAAATTTAGCTATTTTTTATATTATAACTAAATAATATTATTAAATATAATTATTTTTATTAATAAATACATGAGTGATCTAGACGGTAAACGAAAACAAAATCCTATGGTATTCCAGCAATAAGTACCAAAAATAAACTTGATTGTCATCACAATATCACATGAGTTTTAAATAAGCAACATAACAAACCCAAATACTAAATACTCCTACTGCATACATACATGTATAATGCACGTACATAGGCGTGCGCATATGGGAGTGCCGAAATGTTGTAAATGGGACACTAAAATTTAAGTCTAAGAATGAAGTGCCTGTATTTTAATTGATGTTTTTTAAATTATTTTTTAAAAATATTTGGTAAAAATAAATGATATACCGTAATAGATAAAATAAGACTAAATATTTTAAATTTTCATGCAAAAACTTATTAAGAAAATATTATAACTACAATTGACTACTAAAGTACAAATTGTATATAATTGAAACTATCTGAAAAAAGATACAAGATCCAATAAAAATATATTTATGGGGACTAAAGTACCATAATATTAAATAAAAAATTAGAGTTTTGTTTATTTAATTTTATATACATTATAATTTATTAAATATATCAAAATGTTTTGTTGAGATAGGACACAAAAGTATTATAGGCACACCCTGAAATACATATGCCTATTTGTATGTACATTTTACGTCTGTGGCATTAGTGAATTACTAATGCAAAGTGGTATAAAGGCAAAATTATCCTCTTTACATAGTAGTTTTAGCGCAAAATAAACTTGGGGTGCTAATTTAGAACTTGGAGATGGGCCAATAAGTACGTGTGCCAATGATCAGATCATAAAATATGTGCAATTATTGTTTAATTTCAACATTTTTATTGTACTTGTTTTATTAAAAAAAAAAAAAAAAGAAACTAGAAACCAATTTGTTAAAGATTTTTTTTACAAAATTTACCTGGATGAAGAACATCTGGATCAGTGGTTTTTATAATTGTGATTGGTAAATAGCATATTACAAATGATAAAAAAATAGCTAAAACCATTTTTGTTAATCTCCATTCGTTACGTTTTCTTTTTATAGCTTGCATACTTTTTGTATTTGGATCACTTCGAGTAGATATTTGATGTTTTTGCATTCGATTTTCTGATCTACAAACCAATATTATGTTTAAGTATTAAATTAACATATGTTAAATTTATTTTTATTAATTTTAATGATGCATGTGAATTAATATAATTTTGACGTACGTTACCCCAGCCTCCCAATTTTTAATTTTACAATTTTTTTCGCACCAATAGTTAGTGCTCAATTCCTACCAATTCCTGCCATATTTTCAGAATTTCTGCTGTACCAGTTTTTCCAGAAAGTCGAATTTTCTACGGGTTGGGCTGGAGTAACGTTACCCTAGCCCTACCCACACTTTAAATTTTACTTTTACAATTTTTTTTGCGTCAATAATTAGTACTCAATTCCTGATAATTCCTGCCATATTTTCAGAATTCCTGTTGTACCAGTTTTTCAGAAAACAACAATAATAAAACCCACTATGATAAAAATTTATTAATAGTCCATAATAATATCATTGTTTATCTACTTTAAATTATTTTGTCCAAAAAAAATCATGAAGATTTATATTCATTATAAATACAGTTGGTCATTGTACAACTTATATGAAAAGAGGATGCAGAAATTGGGAGCATACGACGATTTAAAAAAAAATCCAGTCCAAGTAAAATAATAGACGACAGTTACTGTATCTATTAAATTTCTATTTTATTCGATTCAAAAAACATTTCAATTAAACTTTTTAAATAAAATTTAAAAATTTTATTGTTGATTTTATTAGAGCTGGATATAAATACATAAACTATTAAAATTTTCCGTTATGTATCGTATAATAATTATTATGGTGCAATTCTTTACAGGAACAATATAAAAAAACATTAACGTAAAATTATACATTTTGACAAAATATGTGAATATAAGATACACTTAACTGTATTAATATTATAATATTACAGATGAATCAATATATCAATATTTAACAATAGTATAAAAAATTGTGTTCTCTGGAGCAATTGTGTACATAGATACGTCATCCATAAAAACATACCCACCCATAGAAAATTTGACTTTCTGGAAAAACTGGTACAGCAGGAATTCTGAAAATATGGCAGAAATTGAGCACTAATTATTGGTGCAAAAAAAATTGCAAAATTAAAAATTGGGGGGGGCTGGGGTTACGTACGTATAATTTTGGTCAATTTTTATTTTTAGTTATAATTTTAGTCATTTAATTTCAATTGTTTCGAGGTAAGTAAAATTAATTTATTTATTCTCATCATATAGTTTATTTACTTAGATAAAATTACATTTATGAGTACTAATTAGTTATAACTTTTATAGGATTATATAATAACTATACAATACTATATTATTATGTAATAATTTTTAGAAGATAAAACTAGGAAAAACTAAATAAATATCTTTGAACGTTAGTTATACTTTTATAGCAAATTAAATATATACTTTTTTTCAATAACGGAAATAAAATTTTTCTTTGTAGAGCTATATCTATTTTAAACATGTATTTGATTAATTTATATTATAATACATTTTTTGCTATTAATTAATATTTACTGATACATATTATATAGGTTCGTTATTAAACATCTATATTAACAAAAAAAGTAGATTCATTTATTTAGTGTCATTTAATGAATGTTTAAAACGTAATTTATAACACTTATAATGAAATTAATTAATTTCGTTTTATCACTGTATAAAAAATAAAATAATAATAATAATATTTTTTAATAAGGATTTTAGTTTAATGAAGAATATTACCAATACATTTAATATTGTGCATGTATAATGTGTCAACGAATTGGTATACTAGGAATATGATATTGATGATCGAAAATTAAACTTTAAAAGAAGTTATTGAGAATTTTCATTAATATTCGTATGTCATTATTAAAAATGAAAGAAAAATGAATATAATCTTTATAACATTGATGGTACAGGTTAACTTAGGTTAAGTTATTAATACTAACTCATTGTAAGTGTAAAATTACATGGTGTTTTATTTTCTTATTTTGAAATGTAGAAAAATGTCAAATAAAATTATCAACAATGTTAAAGATTAAAGTATTTTTTTATTATCGATTAATATTTTTAGGTATAAAAATACTAGATAACTGCACCATAAAAAAAACCAATTGAAATATTTATGTTCATCATTACAATTATGGTTATACAGACTTTAATTAACGATCAACCTTAATGTTTCGATTAGGTTACATTTGTTACTAAATAGTTTATATTTATGTAAATTGCATGATTCCGACTATTTTGTCAAAGAAAAAAAAAAAATGATTATATTTTAATATGTTAATCTGATTTTAAAGTTATATTAGTTTATAGTTTCTATAATTCAGTATATTATTCGATTCGGAGTGGAACAAGACATGTATAGTTTTTGTATTTGAAATCATGAGAATTCAATAATTATATTTATATACGAGTATGTAGCTCAAAAATTATAAAATTATAAAAATAGTATATTATACTACAATGATTAAAATATTATTAATTTATTTTAAAATGACAATTATTATTTTAGGGCTCTAATCGACGTATCATTATTTTCTTCGACCATTTCATTAAAACAGCGAAAACCTTGTCATAAATTAAACTGTATTAAACATTATTATTAATATTACTATTTATAATTATTACGTTGTGGAAAATGACTCAAACCTTCACAATGATAACATTGTCGTTTGACAAAACTGATAAGGTGACTTTAAGACATTTTGTTTGACTATTACATTTTTATTAGAAATCGTTAAATTTTATTTTCAAATATAATAATATTTTTTTTAAAGTTTCTTGAATGTTTTTATCACCATTTTTTACGATGATAGGAGAAATTATAAGATAAATTATTGGAAAGAATATGATCGCTTTATGATGCCTATTGTACATTGTTATTTTTGAATTGTAGAGTTATTACCAGTGATGTAAAAATACCGTATTATACATGTATTATAAGTATACAATACAGTATTTCACAATAATGTTATGGTGTTTACATAATTGTTAAATATATAACTGTCGGAGTGTAATAAGAATGTAAGATCAATAATATTAGATATTATTAGGTCAACCTATAGTAAAAAGAAACAGTAACTAAAATTTAGGGACTTTAATTAATTGTAACTTGTAGCCTATAGGTAATTAAATAGAATTAATAGAATTTAATATAATATTATACTGCGGTCTACTGTCTACGATTATGACTTATGACTTGGCACTTATCGCACGTATCACTACGATTTACAAATATTTCGGTTAGAATCATGGAACTTGAGTTAATAGGTCTGTCGTCTATTGCTAGAATAGTTTGCACCTCTAGAACAAGACTGCCACAACTCAAAATTCATAGTTTTCAGAAAAAGCGATTTGAAGTTTAGAACTAAACTACGAGTATTTTACAGATTTTTTTACCTATACATTTGAAACTACAAACTTTACTTACTAGTATTCACGTTACAAACGTGTTTTATAGTATGATTTCTTCAAATATTGTAAAATACCTTTTAAAACCCAAAAAGTTAGACTTATGGCCTTTTACAATTTTATAAGTAAATGCTAGACTGTCATATTTTGAGATGTGGCTGTATTGCATAGACAATTTGATTTAAAAACCATTATATACTCAAATATGGCAGTATTGAATTTGATCTGTGTAAATTTGTATGCCAAAATTCAAAATATGGCAACGTTGCATTAAAATAAGACATCATTAAATTGTTATTTATTATGAAATGCAATACCGTCACATTTTTAAATATGACTGTATTGTGTTCAAAAAAACACACGAAAATAAGTATTTATTTAGCGCAAGAATGCCACAAATCGAAATAAGGTAGTCTTGAATTTTGAATTCTGTGATTAATTGGAAGAATTAAAAAATATATACTGTTTTAAAGTAAATATGACTTTGTTACATTGAAAATTACCAAAAAATTGAGTAATTCAATATTGACATATCTTTTTAGTGGCAAAATGAAAAATTATATTGAATGTGGTGTTATTGCATTCTATAAAGCTACATTTTTACTATCAGAAAGTAATCGTAACTCAAAATTGATGAATTTTGAGTTGTGGCAGTCTTGTTCAAGAGGTGCAAGTTCTTTGTAATGGATAATGATGCTTATTCTTGATAATCTCTTTTCTATGATTGATGCCAACCGGAAACCACCTACCAATAACCATTTTACTCGTGTGGCCGTGCTCCGTCGTTTTATTACTGTTATCACTTATCACTAATATCTACCATTTATCAATTATCACTGATTTTTTTTTTTTTATACCACTTGTATTTTACTTTTTTATACATGACGTATAATATGCCTGTATAATACAATATTATATAATATGTATTATACAATTTACATCACTGGGTATTACCTTTATACTATATTTTAATATAAAAACTAATTCTTTGAACGTTTTTACTTTATATTTGCTTCCTGTTTTCATACGATCGAATTCATTCGTTTATTTCTATTTTATAATACTAAAAAATACTATTGCATACATCCAAACTATTTGCTTTTTAACAAACTATCAGTTTGAGCTAACAATAAAATATATCTTTCAATTCGTGTTTGACTCCCGACTGAGTAACACGTGTGTAGCGTTATCGCATCCGTATTTATATTTAAAATTTAATTTGTAATTAGAATTAAGATTTACTTACTTACGAATGACCCAAAATATACCAGTATAACAACAAACAATTACAATGCACGGTATGATGAACCCAATGATGAAAAGCGCAGTTTTGGACGATCGACCCCATCTGTCAACTGTTATGGAACATGTACCCAGTTTTGGATCATGTTTATATTCACCTTAAAAAAAAGCGAGAGAAACAATTCAAAACATTATTCGATTCGTTAACACAAAATCAAAATATGATAGATTTGTACCCCATATGCCTAATAGCGTAGGTATTTGCATGCCCAAAGCTAGAGTCAAACAAAATGCAATCATGGAAGCTATCCATATTGGACGATATATTCTACTGTATAAACTTGTATGAACAATCATTATGTATCTAAAACGAATAATTATTATTAATTGAACATACAGGTAGATGAAATGTGACAAATAATTTTAAAATAAAATTTGTAAATTTTGAAAATTTTGTAAATATGGTGCAATGTTCGAATAGTTAAATTTTAAGTAGTTATATGAATTCGTGTATACGAAAATGAGACATAAAATAAAATAAGATCAAGTATGTTTTCCCACATTAGCTTATAGGTGTTATCATCATATAGGTGGGTGGTTTTTATTTTAATATTCTTTCGAATTATTCATGATTTCAAATAACCAAGGCTGGGCAAGTTATTGATATTTAGTTACGTTACTTTAAATTAATTGAGTTAATGTTCAATTAAGTTAACAATTAAGTTAATGCACATGAGAATTACATAAATTAAGTTAAAAAATATTGTTAAATTAAATTCAGTTAATAAGTTATTTACAAAAAAAAAAATATATATTTACTTTAAGCACTGATATAAGTGATATATATATTAACAATTTATAACAGATCATATTTAACATTAACTATAATGAAAATGCAGAAAAATCTTATTAGACTCTAAGTAGAGTAGAAAAATATATTTTTCTTCATTGAAAATGTTTTTTTAAGCATTAAAATGTCAAATTTATGGTAATTTATGTATAGTTTGTTTTTCTTCATTTTTTATATAAATCACATATGATAAATATAATAGTTATATTCATATATTTATTATATAATTTAAATTATTTTAAAAAAATATTTATTTTAATGTTCAATAATAATATGAAAACTAAAAATAATTACTACAGCTGAAAGTTTAACTATAAAATTATACAGGCAATAAATGTGTACAGTTGATACAATATATTAAAATAAATATATAATATTATTTAACCTAATTAAAGTTTAAAAAATAAAACAATACAATGGACAGGTTAATTAAAATATCTATTGAATCTCAATAAAAGAATCATCTCAAAATGTTGATCAGCTATTGCATTTCTTCTCTTATTCAATAATATTTAATAATATCAATCGTATTTAATAGGTAATATCATAGACTATGGAATAATTCTTATAACAATAGAGTACAATTGTTATTAGAAGTATTTAGTCAATGATAATATGTACCTATAATAATGTAATATATAATATAGATTTACAGCCACTTTTTATGACAATAGTAATGCAATTCATGAGTGGCCTGACTACTTTTACTCAATAGTCTTAAGACGGTTGAATACTTTTCTCGAGACCTATTAATAGTTAACACCATGATAAATATTATGGTTTTATCTAAAAATTCTTCGACCTTTTTTATTTTTATATTTTTCTAAATTCCATGAACTTGTTATCGAAGCGGTATTTTACAAAAATATTTTTCTGGTCTTGAAAATCAAAATTAACTTAATTGGGATAAATGAAAAAATAATGTGTTAATTTCAAGTTAATTTGTAAGGAAATTAGTTAAGTTTATAAGTTAATTTAATTTATTAGTAATAAAATAAGTTAATAAGTTAAACTTACTTAACTTTTAACTTATTAACTCGTTAATTCTCAGGCTTACAAATAACACGAATTATTTTATTTTGAATGCATGAAATAAACATTTTTACTGTTACGAGACATACTATATTTTTATTTTTGTAATTAACAAATATATCTACGATTTTAAACTATATAATATGTTAAAAATGTGATATCTCACTATGTGTAATGCCAAACATAATATATCATTATAAAATAATATATACAAGTCATAATATATCTCACTTTATAGTGTCCATCACACTGTGGTCAACTTGACTAGGTACCTGTACCGACTTAAAAAATGCGCTTACAACAGAATACATGAATAATTTTATCCCCATTCAAGTGCAATATTCTAAATCTTTTAAACCTTCGAATGGAAATATATAAACAAGGACTCAATCATAAACCAGTCAATCGAATCGATATGGATTATTCGATAGATATATAGATCATATGAGTCTTACGACATTTCGTAAAAACACCTAAGGTCTCAGTGATCAAATTTTTTTTTTTTAAATATTCACTTAAGTATAAATTGAGTTAGTTAACTTTAAGAAACACCTACTAATTATAAAAAAAATATATTTATTACAGTTACATTAAAAATATTGCTATTAACTTCAAGCAACTGATCAAGTACCAATGCGTCGTCTAAATGAAACATTATTTATACTTAATTGTCTAAATAATTCGAGTTTTCAAAAAAGCGTTTTTTTTTATGAATTCATCCGCTGTTAGTAGTAATTAGTGTGGTTTTCACATTTTTGATATGATATTATATTATTAGCTTCAGAAACAACTTTTGGGATTAATACAAAATTTGTTTGGAATAACTATTGATTTGACTTAAATGTAAGCGAGTGTTATTTTGATAGCAAAAAATTGAATGTTCAAAAGTTGTGATATAAACAACCATTTATGTATAAAATAAAACTAAACTGAATTCGTTCATAGCTAATATTATACGTATTCAAATTATATGCGTACACATTACATGTAGATTCTTATATTTTTATATTCTACTGATAAAACACAAATATTATCAAATAATTAAATAAAATTCTATTCAATCATAAAATATGTCATTGTTTGTTAGCAATTTAATATGTAATAATAATAGTAATAAATGGTATTTCATCTTGGTAGATACATTTTAAAAATGTATCAGCTATTCTGCTGTAAGGAGTCTGATACGTTTGCCTGACACTTCATTTGCCCAACACTACGTTTACCTGACACTACCTTTGCCCGAGGCCCTACAATATATTCTACATATTTTTACTGTACGTTATACTGATATAAAATATTTTATTACTATTTCATTATTTTATAATTATTATTTATTAATATGCAATATTAATATAAAATAATTAAAACAAAACTAAATCAGACAAATATTTTATCATGGATAATATCGCTCTATGTGAAAAGATACTTTTATTGAAATTTTGAATAATTTTTGACACATATTTAATTATAATATAATTTGAGATTGTCGGGTAAGTGTAGTGTCGGCCAAATGGTGTCGGGCAATTAAGGTGTCCGGAAAATGTACTGACTCTCTGCTGTAAGGATATAAAATTGACTCGATTATTACCAAATCTAATTAGGTATAATGCCTAGAGACAATAATGAACTGAAAAAATATTCACCTAGTCCCACTAGTTAAAACAAATATATGAATATTTATTTTGTCCTGTAACTAAAGCTCTGTTTCAAATAAATTATTATTTAAATTGGAAAAATCATCACAATAGATTATTTAGTATTTATTTATTTTACCTAACATTTAGAATAAGAGTTCTAAAACCATTGACTTAAATATATTTTCATACCTATAAATTTTTAATTTTAGTTATAGATTTTATTGTCCAACAAAACTATGCCTTTAAAATTATCATTTTGAATAGTCTATTTTTTCTGATAGCAATTTTGATTGAAAGAAAAATGCAATATCTTCACATAGATAAGCGTTTATAAGATATCGGATTTAATTCGTTTTCACGTGTGAATCCTATACTCAAATTAATTCAAATCTCATATTGTTAGACAATGGTCATAATTATTTTCTGTTGCTAGTGCACTCACGTTTGTTTTGTATATTTCCGCGTTGTGGTTCATTATTATTATCATTGTTATTACAAAAGACGTATGTATTATACCGACAGTCTTAGCCGCCTATATTAGTGATTGTTCTTTTATCTATATCGTCTACCTACTATTTCTGCAGAACTTTCGCGGTTCTGAGCAAACTTTTGCCACGTCGTCATTTATGATTGGTTATTATCACTGGTCTCTTGGCGGTCATATAATATCCCAGCAGCACTTCTAACGGAGACATGTTGTCATTCGGCCGTATCATTAACTAGAATATTGTTTCTCATCTGTATATACTGGGGTTCCCTTTTCGGTTCATAATTTTACTACCACCTATGATTTTATTATATTTTTGTATTTTTCTTCTTCAACATTCCATTAAAATTGTATATTTTATTTAAATAATGTAATTTGTTATAAATAGATAAGAATAGATAGCATCATTAATGAAATAGAACTCTTAAATTTCATATTTAACTGTAAAAATAGTAGTGAAAATTTTTTTAGTAGACATTTTTATGCAGTGGTCCAGCATAAAATATTACAATTAAAATTTTCTGAATAAGGTGCAGTAGCGTAGCATGGTTGTAACGAACCGTGCCTACGTCAAAGACACGTATTGCAAAGGGATGTAAATTGTGCAAAAGTCGTATTTTTATTCTACCTTCAAATTAAATTTTTTCATTATACTTTTTTAAATGTGTAGATTTTGTCTAATTGTACACAATACGTGTGCAATTTATGACGAATTAACATTGAATTTTTGTGTGAAAGTGAAATACAATCAATGGATTTTGACGAAATTAAAAAATTGACCAGTTACTTAGCAATCAAATACGCTTAAAAGCTCAATATATTCGAGATTTGTTCTGAAATGGAATGTTTTAAACACCAAATTAATTTTATGATGATCAATATCAAAACTGTTGTACAGTTTGTTTTTATTAAAGTGAATTTATAAACAAAATTAACAAGATATTTATCCTAATATAGAAATAGTGTTAAGAACAGTGGCGTAGACAGGAATTTTCATTGGGAGGAGATATGTTACCCCAAAAAACTAGTATATTTTTGTTTAAAAAAAAAAAAATTATATTTTTCTACAAAACGTGTTATAGTTTACAATATAATATCTATTTTTTTTGATTGACGTGACATGATATCAATAATTTCGTCGGGCGTAATAAGAATTTCTCGGTGAATTGATAATAATGTTAAGGGATTGATATTGATATTTACTAATATTGTCATAATTAGCGATATCTATAATTTTAAAGGATCAATTTTAAAAAATTATTAAAAAAATAAATGCTTGATGTTTTTTCATTTTTATATTCCGTCACCATTCACAGCACTCCATACCTTTTCCACTTATATACCACATCTTTATACACTTGTATAATATAATTAGTAATAAGTAATTTGCAATTTTATAATTAGTTATTTTTTTCTAGCAAAATATTCTCTAGAAATAATATATATGACAAAACAGCGTTTGTCGGGTCAGTTAGTAAAATATAATTCATAAAGATTTACGTCAAAACATATAATTTTGTATAATATTGTTATAATTGAGCTAATTATATGATAACATAAAGATTAAAGATAGCATAACCGTGATAATAATTAATAAACTTTATAGCTTATCAGCTTGGACTGCCTACTACCTAATATGAGAGTATGGTTGTGACTAATAAGTTCTCCAACAATCTGATCAAACGTTATCTATCGGTTAAATTAAAATAAAACGATTTATAAAAATTGATAACATAGGATTTTCAATACTTCTATCTTCCGTGTAATGCATAAAATTTATATAAAATATATAAAAAAAAAGATCATGGGGGGGATCCATCTTTAATATCCCTCCCGTATCTACGCTCATGGTTAAGAATATTTGTCACCATTTCACTAAAAACTGCTAGCTATGAAAAAAGTGTAGGCTAAAAGTAGTAGTAAACTAAAATTAATAAAAAATTTCTGAAGATCAACAATTGAACAAGATAGATTAATAAGCATGATAATCTTATTTATGTAACATGAATTTTCTAGAAAAATATCATATTAAGAAATTATTAATGAATTCGGCAGTCTTAAAAATCAAATTGTAGCTTATTTTTTTAAAAGTTTAAAATTTGCACTGTTATAATAACAAATAAACATAAATTGCATTCTTAAAAAAAAAAAAATAGTAAAATTAAAGATTAAAAAAAATATCATCAAACGAAATGTTTAATTGGTAAAAAGGAGCTTTTTCCAAATTTGCTAGGGGCACTAGCAAATCTTTCTACGACATTGACAGGACGTGTTATTTGATTTGAGTTTTACTGTAGCTAAAAAAGTAAGACTAATTTTATAAAAGGTTAGAATTATTCATACTAACTATTTACTATATATTTATCTACAGTATATAAGTATTTAACTAAGTTACTAATTGGTCATATTATAATTATAATAAGGAATATAATATATATATTCCTATTAAAAAAATTCACTATTGACTAACACAATAACTAAATTATAATTTAGATTTACTAATAAGCTATATTTTTAGACGATCAGTTAAACAATAATTTTAAATGTATGTTAAAAATATTAGCCTTAATATAACACAATTATGTATATAAATAAATAAAAAATATATTCTTAACGTATCACCTACCTATTTATGGTGATCATAGAAATGAACAGCAATGATACACCCACATTGACATATTGGAGAAACGGTACAATAGAACACAGTATTGGATTTTGTGCCCAATTGAAGTTTAAAAATCTGGATACGCTAAAGGGTAATACGACAACACAAAATAACAAATCAGCTGCTCCTAAACTGAAAAAGAAAATAAAGTGATTTATCGTATTATTAAGTTTCAAATGAGTTGTATAATTTAAGATTGATAAACTTACAATAACTTAATTTGCTTTTTAAAAATATAAAATATAAGTATAACAATATAGTAAGTGGTGTCAAGATTATATTTAACGGAAAGTATATAATATAAATATATATAACAAATATAAAATTTATTATAATTTTGTTTTTTGGAAAAAAAAAGTAAGCTAAAAGACAATAAAAATTTCAAAATAGTAATTTTCATATTTTATAAATTGGTATTAAAAATAAATTCGAGGGTGACCTGGTAACCGGATGTTATAAATTTATATTAAAACGCCTATATATATATGCCTCGCACTGTGATATGCTTTCTAATCGTATTAGTTAATTATTATACCGAAGTTGATATATTATACTACAAAATGAGTTAATTTTTCCGAAGACAATTTATAAGATAATTATATTCGACATCAGTATTATAAACATTTTAAATAATTATAATAATATAAATAACAAATTTTGTCATACAAAAATAATGTATTGAACTTTGTTAGTAAAATAAAATAGAAAAATGTTTCAGCAATCGATATTTCATTGTATCTGTCGTTGTAGTAAGAATATATATAATACCAGAATAATTTTATCAATTATAGATAATTTAAATCGATTTCATCATATATAAATTAACAGCGAATTATTTTCAAAATGCATTTTATTATTGAATACACTTTGTTTTTCATCTCCTAAATATATGGGAATCAAAATGATTTATTAGTCAATATTAAAAATACAAGTGAAATACAAGTTATATTTTATTTATTTATACAAATTTATTTATTGATTAGTAGAATCAAATTCCAACCTATGATCTTATAATAAGACTATGAAAACAAAATCATTTTTCCGATTTTATTTCTGGTTTAGGTTAAAAATATATAAAATTTGGATTGGCGGAAAGAAAGCTTATCTAATAGTTAAGATTTGTAATCCAGTCTAAAATCAAAAACTAATGGAAAATAACTTTTAGAGTTATTTCATGATAAAAATGTATGCATTTCATTCAAAGTAAAAACCGTTAATTTTTAGGAATATAACCAATTATTATTTAATCTCTGTACAAAATATATACATAATAACTACATAGATTTATAATACAATTATGATTTTATAAGTAATAAACTTATATTAATAATAGGATTGACATAAATACTATAAATACTATTGAAATATTTATATTCAATGGTATTAGGTACACGAATATTATTATTTTATGGAAAAATTTACAGACTTGCAGTCATATAGTACTTTGACGTACATTTTTCAACAATCTTTTATTTAAATTTAAGTCAATTTTCCTACGATTTAAATAATTATATTTACTCTATATTTTAGTAAAAATTACAAACTGTTGCATATTATGTTTTAAATTTTAAATGTTTATACTATACCTGATAATAAATGCAGACGCTACATTTCGAATTCGTGGGCTTTTAACTAATGCTATTATAGTCAAGCCATTACCAATTATACCTATGCACATAATAAGCAAAGTCAAAAACGCAGCTGCGTTCATGATATTTTGGTTTTTTTCGGCCCATCTAGTGATACATACAACATATTTATATCACATGATATATTTCCAATATACAATGTTTACTTACAGTTCAAATCCGATTATTTCATTTTTGTTAGACGTTGTCATTAATGAAGATCACTTGATAAAGTATTCCAAAAGATAATAAATAGCTTTCATAAGTTTCAATCTAAAAAAAAAAAGGAAACGCACTATTATTTCTCAATGCAATAAGAAATGTAAATTTATAATTTATTATTTAAGACCACCCATTATTATTTTACAATTAAATATTTATTTAATAGATATTTACAATAAATTAAAAACAATTTTAAAATTAATAATTTAAAAAAAAAAAAATAATGCAAGTATAAATATTAAATGTAGGACAGTTAAAGATTCAAACTTGTGTTTTCATACTTTCTATTGCCATGCTTAATATTAAAAGATGATGATAACATTTTATAAATTTAGTATGCAGTCTATTAAAATTATAATCGACCAGAAATTAATAAACTATTTCGTACTTTGATTTGTTTGAACTGATTAAACTATGAAATTCCTTTATTTCATTTCTATTATGTGACATTTTATTTTAAAATTCTGTAACTTCTGAACATGTTTATTCGATTTTGTTTTATTTTTATAAGTTTCTAAATAAGTATATATATATATATATATATATTTTGTTAGAAATGTATAGGTTGTAAACATAGAGGTAAAATCTATTCATATCTATTCTAAAGGTCAATAATTTAAAAATATTAAAAAAAATTAAATTGAAAGTAATTAAGTTGTATTTACTATTAATAATAATATTATTAAAATAATATATTAGTATTCATTTCGATTCATAAATTAAAAAATATGATGATAAAAATAAGGCAATACTAGTAATAATACTTTTAGAGTACAATAAAATTGTAACTGTATAAACCTATGATATTAGTTGTACGAACATAAATATTATTATTGTTATTCAGAAGATAAGAGCTTAGTATAAATATTATAAAATAGTTGGATTCTTCGTCTTCAGTTAAATATGATAACGTGAAAAGTGTTAAACGATTAAATATTATGTAAACATATTAGTTTAAATTGGAGTATTAAAGAAGTAAAAATAATCTACTATTTTTCCATAGTTTTACAACATTTTATAGAAAAAAATTATGTTCTCAATTAGAAATCGAAAGATTAGTGAAGCATTTTTTTACAAACAAAAAACGAGGTAAAAATTCATAAATTGCTAGTATTTATAAAAATTTATATTATACAAATATTCTTATTCTGTACTGATTTCAAGTGAAAACTGCATTTGTATATTTTGTGTTACTTTTGATGTATTTAAAAACACTTTTTAGTAATGAAAAATGTGCTCAGCGAATTGCATAACGGAAACTCGAATCACATGATACTTTCAAACAGGTAATTTTTATACTTATATATGTTATTTTTTTAAAAAAAGTCAGAAACAGCGAAAAACTGGTAAAACTTATGACAAAATCAATTTTAAATTTTAATTTTTACTGAATTTTTTTTACAAAACCTCATAATTTAATATTTTAATCTTCAAGTTTAATCAATAAATGCGTGTGTTTTTAAACAAATAATGTATAAAAAAATGATTTGTAGATTTTCTATTCAAATTTTAGATCAATACTATATAAATAATAATATTATTTATTTTAATTAAATGCATGTATTAATATACTGACTACGCTATGTACTCGTATATTATATAAGACTAGTAAAAATGTATAATAGATTCATGTAGAAATATTATAAATTAATTGTTATTTAATTAAGGTTAATTTTCAACGAATTTGAATACTTACATGATAATAAAATATTGTAGGTAAAATATTCAAAAAAAATTACTTGATTCTTGTTAACTATTCACAATATTGGATCAAATAAAATTACAATAAGCTTTTGATAAACATTAAACATGTATGTACTAACGTTCATTTTGATGTGATGTTCACGCAGTTATGTGTGAATACCTAAAACCAACATCAGAAATTATCCTTAATAGCCACTTATTTATCAGCTATAATCGACATTTGAACACATGCGGGCAACGTTCAGTTTTAAATAAGAGGGGTCAAAATTGAACGTAAAAAATAAATATTCTTTGCATAGTGGGTAGGTTACTGAATTGGGTGGGTTATAGGTTACGTATGTAACTAAAATCTGAACAACATATATTTTGAATTTAAAAATGTTTATTCTGAAAACTATCCTGATTTAAATTTTATTCTACACTTTATGTTTTGGATTAATACAACAAATAAAAATCGAAAATTGAACGTGTTGTATTTGTATAGTTGTGAACAATATAAAACAAAATAGTTGTGACTTATTAATAATTATATAAAATTGTACAGTTGCAAATTTCTCAAAATATTATTATTTAGTGTTAAACGTTTTACAATATATAGGTATAAGTGTTATGTAACTACAAAGTAAATTGTTGTCAACATAATTTGTGAACCACTGTGTTTATTTTTGTCAATGAAAAAAATTTACTATTAGTAGTCTACTACATAAAGTAGGTTGTATAATAAGTTAGGGTGCCTTGTTAATTTGTTGATGGGTTCACTCATTTTTACATAGAGAGGAGCGACGCAGAGGTGACTGACTCAATGTGGGAAAAGCGTAATGTAAAGGGATCACTTATGCATGATTGTTTGTATTTATGGCGGATGACATATTTATGTTGGCATAATTGTTTTAATATTTGTGTTGCTCAATTTTAATTTTATTAAAGTATTCGATGAAATAAAATGGTAAATATTATTAAATAATAAACTGTGTATTATTTTTTTAAATTATTAAGTACGAAATAATTTTTATGAAAATAAATAACAACAATAAAATTAGACAGTACTTTTAGAATAATTACATTAAGTGCTATTAAATATATTGTAAATTTATTAAAAACTATTAATATTTATCAGGCGTATTATTGGGGTTTATATATTTACATAAAGTTTTGATTTAAAAAATCACTATTAAATATAAGAAACATGTTAACTTTTATTTTTATATTAAAATAATTGTATTAATTTTTAACTTTAATTTTATACGTACAACATTAGTGTGGATTATGATTGATTTAGAAAATATTTACAGCTATATATGCTATAATACCTATTAGTTTCAAATATCCAAAGTGATGAAAAAGGTTCACACAATGACAACATGTCAATTCGTTGATCTTTAACTTTTAAGATGAAGATGTCAACATATTACATTACTATAATCGAAATATACGATTTTTATCTTTGAATAATATTAAAATACTTTTTATTTATGTTAAAAATACGTCACATATACCTCATTTAGTACATAGTAGTAAAATTATAAATAATTACAAACTCTATAACATGAATGAAGTAATTTTTAGGGTAATAATAATTATGTTTCGAATAAACAATCCTGGATCACATTAATTTTAATATAGTAGAAATTGTATTGAACGTATAATTATCCAAATTATAATCACATGATCAATTTTTATTTAAATTAATATCTGTATATGAAGTAGTTAATAATATTTTAATCTTATATTTAATTTGAACATAGAACATACATAATATGATACGGTGCAGTTAGTTTAAGTTTCAAGTGCAGCATAAAAAAAAATTAGTTTCAAATGCTTATAAATGCTTATTTTTATATTTAAAAAATACGATCGATGATTCGTATCACGATAAAGATTATAATACCATTTGATTGAGTTATTTCATATTATATTATATATAGGTAAGTTATTACAATAATACACCCATTTTTTGTTCTAAAACTATTATGTTAAATGTGTAATAATATTTATTTTATTTTATAATTGTATATAGTTCATAAATATTATAATTTTTATTGGCAATAACCTTAAGAATTTTCTTTGTATACAAAGATCAATATATTATATCGTAGTTTTACAAAAAAAAAAAATAAACAATTTGTACCCTTCCATATAACTATATACAAAATACATAAATACAATTGCTATTATTATAAGTATTGAAATTCTGTGTACATCATATGTGTAAAAATTATTTTTGTTTAGAATTGTGTAAGATTTATTATTATTTAGAAAAAAAATATTAATTTCAAAGATATAATACTGCCAAAAAAACTAATTCGTAGAAATTTTAAAATGTTTTCATTATATCAAGTCTTATTTCAATATTCAAAAAAATCTTAACTGATTTTACCTATTTAGTTCGTATTCGGTATATATTTATTTCTTAAATGTATACGTACCTTTTAAAGTGTACTTTTGGAAATTAAAAATGTAAAATATAATGTGACTGACTATGTGCAATCATATTTTCAAAATAATTAATGTTGAAAATATTGTTAAAAATGATTCGTTTAAATTTTATTTTTACAAGTTTCACTATATAATCCATGTATACAAAGAAGTAATTTAATATAGAAGCATGATAATTTTACGAATAAATAAAATGGTAATATTTTAATAACTGTTAAAACAGTAGAACTATTTTATAGTATATTATTATTCGTTAATTTTTTATTGATATTAATAGAGGCCAATCCTCCTTCTTTATATCACATATAATATAAGTAATCACTAAGTGATAATAATTTAACGTTTACTCAAGATTTTATTTACCACTTTAACTGGGCGTACCTATTATCTAATCACAAACAATGTGGTTATAAAATGTGAACATACCCATTAATATTTAATTGTTTTTAGATGATTATTAATATTATATGAAAACTGCAAAACTGCATAACTAAACAGCACAATGTAGCGTAGGCTAGTAAAATTTATAATTTTAACAACGTTGTTAGTATATTATACTATTATTATAAAATCATTAACGAATTATAAATGATATTTGTTAGATTGACGAAATTAATTATATTGTAATTCAATCAATAATATTTATGTACATACTACTACTAGTACTACCATACAGTACTATAATTCATACGTATCTAATGCTGTTAAGAATATTATTTTGGAATATAAAATATATTAATTATCCACTGACCTTAGTGAAACCGGTTTATCGTTGTTTTGCGCTGGGTTCCGTTTGTTGATATTATTTCTACACGGTATGTCCATTACACAAACGCATTGAATTTGTTGCGAATTTACGGGTGTCCAAACAATGGGCGAAAACTATAAACGATCGTGCAGACGCGTTGTTAAGTCCGAATAAGCCGTGAAAATATTGCAACCCGACGTTAATATCATCTAGTTAACACCACGTGAAGTTCAACAGGGATATCCCTACCACGTACCGGCGAATTAATATGCATTGCTGCTGTAACATGACACACACAACACACGAAATATAACTGGCGTTTGCTTCGAAAACCAACCGATCCAGTTTACGAGGAAAACTTTTTTTACGTCGAATCCCTTGCCATCGAAACGAATTATAACGAAAATTCCGATACGCCGACATTATTTTATGGAACTTATTATCATGATCATTATTACCATTATTATTATTATTGACAGTGTCGTCACACGTCATTTAATAATAATCGATGCATGTTAATAATAATTTTATTTTATTTTTCGATTGAGTTTAATAGCAACTATTAACAGCTATGTAACAGCTGCTGTTACATAGATACCGATCATTTTAACTCTGATCGTATATTGGTAGATAAATGTAATAAATTAATCATTCGGATTATCAAATAGATGGGTATATCAAATTACGTATATTGTAATAAAATATATTGTGTACTTAATTTTTTTTATATAGTATTATACGTATAGACTCTTTGAGTTGTTTTTAAAATTACCTCTATAGTTTTATTTTACCAAAAGTTTATAATTTTTCATCAATTAAAGTGTCATATTTTTACGGTCGAAAAATTGCAAGCAGATAATTGTATTCATTAATAATATTACTTATCACTATGAAAGATAATTTAGAATATATTTCCGAAGTTGAATATTATTACGTAATGAATAATTACATTATACAGAAGGGCTTCAAAATGTAACCTAACCCCTTTCTTAGGAATACTTTTAAAAATAAATTATTTGAACAACGAATGTAACATGTAGTTATATCAAAGTTTTTCAATATACTTACAAGTAAAATATATAGGAAAACTTTAGTTAATTTACATACATAACAAAATTTTAACACTTCCCTATTCTTCTAGTTTTCATCCGTGTATTATAGATTTGAATTTACACAAGAGTAGTACTTGTACGGTTTTAATTGATCATTTTGAAAATTTAATAAAATTCTTGATCATTTTATTATAATATACTCACAATTGTGCAGCAGCAATACAGTGAACTTAAATACATTAAAACGCAACATATTTAAATTATATTTATAACTGCGGAGTGATATCACAATTCTTTTGAGTTTATTTAAATTACAATATGTAACAGGTTTAAACTCAATGGCCGAATAGAAAAATATAACTAATAATAAGAGTATTTTTATGGTTAATTTATATCACACCAAAAAATCGACTTTTTTGATACATTAATGATAACTATCGGTGCGCATGAACTTAAAAATATTTTACAAATTTAATTTGATCGAATTTCTGGGCGTAGTGTTCAAAGAAGTTGCGTTTCGTGTGAAATGAAACTATTCGAACACTAATAGCCAATAAATCAACGTAAGTCCAGAGCGTTACGTACCGTCGGGACCGACTCAATATTATGGTGATGTTTTCAACTTGTCAGTTCTGAACGCTAACAGTAATTAATCCGTACTTAGTGCTGCGTTTATGTACGCTGATCGAAAACAAACCTCAAAACCAGTATATTATAGACACATAATTATTTAGTGACGGCAGTGGTGCTAGGTTAATTACACAGAACCAACTAAAATACGATTAATTACGCGCTGTCGACAGAGAAAACGATTTTCTGTAACATTATGTTGCTTTCGCGCACAAAGTATATGCGTTGCGCCACGTAAGTGTACTCAATTCATCTAAGTATGAGCAACTAAAAAGTTCGTACGTTGTACAATGTTCGGTGAACGAGTTTGCATCTGGCAATATTGATTTAGACGCATTAAATGATGCGGAAGTGATCAAAAAATGTACTCAACATCACAATAATGATAATAACAATATGTATATAATATATATATATATATTGTTATTATATATTATATATGTATGTATTTAATTTAACCAGTTTCAGCTGAGGAAGTGAGGGTCGTGGGTTTTTTGGCAGTAGATCATTGGGATGAAAAACGTGGTGTAGGCTTTGTTGCCGAATCCCCAATCCAGAAACTATTACCGTTGGCCGCAATACAGAAAGCAATTATCAATGGATAATCACTGCACTTTATCAATAAGCTATGTACAAATATCTTCTAGTTAAATATTATACGTGGGGAAAAAGTTTAAGTCTATAATTGAGTAAAATAATATAAGTAGTATAGGAATAACTATTTTACAGATAGATGTTAGTAAAATTTAAATTAATATCATTAACAAAATACAAACATTTTATGTTAAACTTTAAAATTATTGAAAATACTGAAGAGTAAAATAAATTTGGGTTTTAATGTAAATTTGTATAATAAATTAATATAGTTATACTCGTACTTTATGTATCATCTCCACATCAAATCATATTAAATATTTTAAATTCGTCATCACTAAAAGATCTGAAGCTCCTAGAAATCAGAGATGGAGAAAAATATTGGATAGAGAGGCAGAGCGAAGCATCATGGAAGCGGTGATCGGTCTAAATGCTCCTGAATAAATTAATAATAATAATAATCATATCTAACTTAACCAAAGAAATAAATAAAAATATACACAAATTACATTTAAAAAAATTACATGAACAAAATAAGTAAGATTGAAATATTTATTTCTTTAAATATACGGACAATTAAATAGTACTACAATTTAAGTAGTTAATGGCTAAACATTAGTAAAGATAAAGTAAAGGAACTATTTAAACTTTGATTATAATACTTTAAACAATTGCGTATAGTAATTTTTGACAGCGGCCGATACTTCAAATCTTTTTAGGATAACTATGGTATAATAACAAATAATATCTCAATAAGTATAACTATTTAAAATTCCGGTCGTTTAGGTTCACTAGCAATAAAGTTTATCAATAATAAAATAGTAGCAAATAATGAAAATTTATTATTAGGTATATACCATATAATTAACTGTAAGATTTTTGACATTATTCTAGTTAAGATTAGCAATCTGAAGATCAAAAATATAAAAATAATTATATTAAGTATTTTCCTGTAATATCTTTTAGTCGTAATGCATAATGTTAAAAATGTTTGATATTCTTTCATAGATGTTTATTTTTATGTAATCGTACAATACTTTTTTTTTAAATTTATTGATCATAATCTCTATAGGTGCTTTTGGATATTAAAAACCGATAAAGATAAGTAGATATATTTGACGTATTTAATTTAAAATTTTTATTCCTATGCACATCCAATTAATATGTTTTTAATCAGTAAATGGAGGTGATTCTTTTTAATACAATTTAATTTACATGAAAGGTATTCGTCAACAATTTTTTCAAAACCACACGCGTTATTATAGCTTTAAACAATATAATATATCTTAGCATAGTAATCGTGCTTGCAATATACATCGGCTGTAAGTATACATCTAAATGATGTTATCGAAAAAAAAAGGCGAAAAAAATTAGCTCACCTCCATTTTTATTTCAATTACTACGTTAAAACAAAATCTGATGTGATAATCACGCCCGATTTTAGCTGTTTAGGCGTACAATTTATTTCGACACTCTCTTAATCCCACGTTAAGTAAAATTTTTTAGTACTTAATATTGCCGACTTCGAAGCTCATCACTATTGCATGGGTCGTTCATAATTCGGGAACGGCAATATTTATACTCCGTGTATTCTAGTACTTCGTCCTATCGTGTTTACAATTTAAATAGTAAATACTGCTGCATATGATACCATACTTATATTTTATTTTATGGTATTTCATTAAAACTTTATGAACGATAAAATTATGTGCCTATTAAACGATAATGAACTATAAGTTATTAGGTAGCATGAAGATTTTGCAAAAATAATTACTTTTTGAAATCATTCTTAAACTGACGTATATCATATCGAATAAAGTGCGAGGAAAAATAAAGAGAAAATCAGACCGAAATGGATTGCAAAATCTTACCCTTATCCAACTGTGATATATTTCACACAGTGTGTGATATTGAATCACGGAGACTACTTTCGAGTAGTCACGTATGATATGTATATATAGAGCATAAAAATTATAATTATACAATTATTGTATCACATAACTCTACTTTACTTCTCACTTTTTAGGTTTTATATCTATGTAATCTAATCATTAATTATTATTATTTTATTCATTGTATTAATTGTATTATTTATAATGAATTCCTTAAAATGTGTTAATTGTCAAATATTATTATACAATTATTGTTATTGTTGTTCTATATTGTAAATTGGATAGTGCTCGTAAAAAATTAATAAACAAATAAACAAAACTTAATTTAGATTTTATTTGAACATAATATAAAGTCAAGGAGAAAATCATGATCTCTATTTTTAAGGTATATTATATAAGTGAAAAAAATCATGGTTTCACGTTATATTAATTATATTTTCCTTTAATCTTCACAAAAAATAACCAAAAAATTTCAAACTTCGTTAGTTCTAGCATACTTAATTTGCTCCGAGAAGTAGGTATGTCTCTACAATCATACAACTTACATTTAATGAAATTACTGGTGAATGGCGATAATTTTGAAAAAATACTAATAGGATTTATTAAGGTATTTATAAATTATAAATTATTTATTTTACGTCAAATGAATATACCTGTGATGCTACTATTTCTTTATAAAATTCGCTTATTATGTATAACAGATTATCAGTAAATTTGTAAAATTAATTACTATCATAGACGGTACTACGGGAGTGTCAAAGTAGGCAGATGCCCCCCCTGCGAGTTCTTATTCTCCATATACATTCAAATATTGGTTGGTAGCCCCTCATATTACATGCTTATTTAGAGTCTGCATGGTTGTAAGTAATAATATTATTATCTACAACCGTGGGAGCCATTCATATAAATATGCTGATAAGATATTTTGCGTCAACATTTTCAATATTATTATAATTTATTTTTATCATGACAAATAATAACCAATATTATTACTTTATTATTATCTGTATCACAAACGTTTTGTATGATTTTATACTTTGATTTGACTTGAGTTTTTTGGATAATATTAATTATTATAAAAATTATGAACACAAATCAAAGTAAAAAAATAAAAACTTTATACGACTTTTTCATACAAGAACAATCATAGGTGGCTCTACGAAATGTGCCGGGTGTACCTTGGCACACCCTAATGTGAATAATGCGAATAAAAAAATTGAATAATTACAATTGAGAATATATGTGCATACACATTAATTAAATTTTATGAGAACCATCACAGGTAAATTGTGGTCAGTTATTATTTTAAAATTTTATAAGATAAAATAATATATATGTAGGTATTTGTAAGTGTATTATTCATTTTACAAAATAATCTTATTTGAAATAAGTTAAAATAGTTATCAATAAAATACTTTTTTTATAGTATTGCTAGTTTAAAGATTTGGACAAAATAGTGTTAATATTTTACTTAAAGTATTTCCTGCTCCCCCCTGCCAAGAGGGTCTAGTACCACCTATGATTATTATCAATTAAATGTATTTTTTTATAAAATAGTAACAAAATTCACGACTATTATTATCTAAAATATGATTATACAGAAATATTTTGAAAAAGAGCCTGTAAAATAAATGTAAAAATTTATTACTATTTATTAAAATGTAATTTCCTCAAAATTTGTTAATGTGTGAACTGCGATATTAATGCCTATAATTGTTCAAGTCTATACATATCACTAGATATCGGATTTATATGCAAATATATATATGTATTGGAATAAGCTTTTTAAAATCTGATGAGAATTGTCCCCGATTTAGATCTTTTTTATCAAAATAACACTTATTTTATTTTGCATATTTTGCATATTTCAACGTTTTTACCTATTAAATGCATATTCAATGCATATTTGTAGTTTTATTGTGCATATTATTATTAATAGCACATATATTCGTTTTCGTCGTATTTTAACGATCACAGCCACATAATATCCATAAAATTGCGACCAGTTCTTATTTCCAAAGATAAAATTACATACTCATATCATCCAATGCAATAAGGTAAAATATGAATTCAATTTTTGTTTTCACTTTTTATTAATGTTGGTATTTATACTTTATAAATTGAAGATAAAGAATGTTAAATAGCGATAAAGACGACAAAATATTTTAAAAGCTTTTTTATCCTGTTTTTAATACCGTATTAATTAATGATTATTTTTACATTTATAATACTACATTTAAAATATCTGTACATAATTTTAAACAGCATTTTAAATGAATATTTAAGTACATATTTAAAAATAAATATATATTTTATAGCATATTACAGCATTTTTAGAAGCATATTTTGAGGATTTTTGTGCATATAAATCCGGTCCCTCCATATCACATAGTTGCGTAAACATGTCTAAAATTTACTTGGGTTTTTATTTATAAAGTAAATTATAAACTCTATTAGAAAATCTATATTTTAACGAAAATAAAAATTTGGGCTTTGTATTTTTATAACTGAAAATTAAATTTTATAGTTATTTATTTTATACTTTAGTTTTAATTTAATGTGATCGCAAAAAATCCTTTAAACTTCGAAATTTTGTGTACTAAAATTAAGAACATCTAAAAATAATAAACATTCACCTTGACACCAAAAATTGTTTTTATTCACTGAAGTTGTTTAAAATTTTGATGGGTTTGAAACCTTAAAATTGATATCATGTTTCATGTCCCAATATCGATTAGAATTAACTTTGTTTGCATTACCTTTAATTAAGTTTAAGAATTTTTTAAAAATGTATTTTATATTTTCATATTTTTAATAATAATCTAGTGAGGGTTATTCAGTATATTCAATTCAAATACATGAATTTATTTTGTATTAAAACCTGTAATTATGATACTTTTACTATACAGGTATTCGATTTTTACAGTGTTTACATCTTTATGTCGATTATGCAATCACAATTAAAACCTAAATGTTTGATCGAATTATTTTTGTTTAAACTTCTGACTGATTGGAAAAAATGTTTCGCTAGTTTATTATACGTGAACATAACATGAATAAATTCAAGACAGACTTTAAGTTGATGCTTTTGTTTAATAAATATATTTTTTTTATTTTATTAAATTAATCCCGTGACCTTTTGACGTAAATTAATGGCGTCTGCTTATTTTGTTTTCTCGATTATTTTTTATTTTTTATATAAACCAATAATCCACACCCTTTTTGTCCCACCAATCCTTTTACGTATATTTTGCACCGTTATTATTCGACCACCATTGACGGGATGCGCATACGCCGCTTTTGCCGGTAGGGGTTCTTTGCCCTCCGTTTCTGTGAACGACGAACAATCCCTGAGACCACATGGTAGTCACGCCGCAGTCGTCGAGGTTCAAACGTCATTCACCCGTTGCGTACTTAAAACATCGTACACGAACCGCGATGTTTTCCCACGTACTCTACCATTGAATCAACCACTTGACGATTTTATCGAAATGGCGGTCATACCATTTCACGTAAAGGCGTAAATTATTTTCGGATGTTTTTCGGTAGTAAGTGATCCCTAGCAAATTCACCGGTTCTACAATCAATTTGCATACAATTTTCAAGAGTGCGATTAGTTCAAATGGCTTAGAGAACACCCCGACGTAAGTCAATGACCATTGCCTGCACGTTATTAATCCATGTTAATGCATGTTTTAATATCATGTTAAGTACTTGTTTTATAGGATTTTTTTTTTTTTTAATATATTATAGTTATTTATGCCATTTTAAAAAAATGTATTTGTTTCAGCGAATCGAATGGCTAAATTAAAAAACAAAGTAAAAACAATATTTTATTTATAGTAATAAATATAGCTTATATTATGTCATTAAATTATACATGAACATTCTAAAATTATGGAACCGTTAAAAATTACTGATTTGTTAACACAAAAATTATAAAGTACATATTTGCATTTGTACAAACAGTTTTTTTTTTTTTAATGTTAACTAAAAATATTCGATACTATGCTATAATATTGACCTATTTTCTTAATATCTATATGCCTTTGTACGTTGTAATATATATATATACGTTTAAATTACTAACCGTTATACTGTGAATCGATATTGTAATAAAATTGTATGATTATAATTCATGTTGTATGTTTAAATAGAAACTAAAAAAAAAATTCTAATCATTGTGTAGTGTATGTATAGTAATAGTTAATATAAGTAGCACTAATGAGTATTATTTCTTGTTTAATACTCAATTCGAATAAAATTAACGATTCAAATAAAAATTTAAAATAATTAAGTATGCTGTATATTTATTAAAAAATTAAATCATAAATATTTTTAGGTCAATTGATTACATCATGAATATATTAGTGTATGAAGGGTTTAATTTGATGAGTAGAATACAATTTTTGCTTCATAGATTTTTTAAACACACAACAGTTTAATTTTAATTTTTTTGCAAAAAAAAAAAAAAAAATAACAGTTTCAATGCTGAATGAAATCAAACTATAAGTGCAAAATGAAATTTTATTTTATAAATGAGCTATACAATTTTTTTAAAATTTATTTAATTAAATATAATATATTATATATTTTCGGTAAAGTACTTAATATACTTTTATTATTTTTTTCTAAAGTATGTATGTTATATAAAGTATGTTTTATAGCAGTATATTTTTAAAAACTTAAGAGTTGAGTTATTTTGGTACTTTTTTTTTATATCATTTTATTAAACCAATATTATAATGGTTTTAGAAAAAAAAATTTTTTTTTTTAGTAGATTTTAAAATGAACGGAAATAGGAATTTAAACTTGTTTATAGTTTAGAAATGGGTAAATTTTGAATACTTATATTTACTGAATTATATAATATAATACATAATATATTATACAATATATTTAATAACACTGGTTATAGTTTATTTTATGATTAATAATAATAACAATATCATTATTGAGTTTCAAATTCAATTAAATTTTAATATCGTTATGTATATATTTTTCCTTTTTATTTAATGTTGGAACATATTTAATATCGAAAATCAGAAAATCCAATGAACGATTCAATTTTATTAACTTTTGTAGTATTTTTTATGGAATATAATAAATAAAATTACTTATAATTTTTTAAATAATTAAAAGTTAAGTGACCAAATCGCAGGACGCCATTTATAACGTCGTCGTTCACACGACTTAAATAAAATAATCAGGTGATTTAAAATATGTACGTAATATTAGGCAAACTTCATTCATGCGACTAGTATTAATTGTTTTATAATTTATGTATAGTAAAATACAATTTTAATACATGAGAATCATTAATCATATTTATATATATATATATATACTTGTATATGTCTAAAATTTTCTCATTCATGATCAATAAGCATTGAACATCAAGACAAAAACTAATTATATATTGTAAAAAGAGAACAGCTATACTTTGATAAATATTAAGTATTACACAAATTAGATTTGGTGAAAATATTAGTTTGATTAAATATTATCGCACTTATTTGAACTTTATTTATAATAAAATGCGCAACGACTATTGATAGACCATCGTCCCTACAAGTGATTATTATTGTTTTTATTCATAGTCAGTATTGATGTTAAATTATTTACCATGAGCCTTAAATTAAAATAATGTTAATTTATACTATTTGAAAGAATCAAAACGTATGTTAAATTATCGCAAAATCATAAATTTATGAGTTTTAAACATTGTTATATGATTATTACACGCGTACAATTACCTTGATATGTGACCTTAATGTTTGCTTAAAAGTATTATTAGTATATCAGATTATTCAAAAAAGTTACAAATTTTCCAACAAAACATTTGTGACTTACATTAAAATTTATAATTTTGTTTTATTGTTTTATAATTATAATATGATATATAAATGTGTGATTTTACCTTGAACTATATTATGCACTTGCAACTTATAAAATAACTACTAATAATTTACTGTAAATTAGTACTAAACTTGTATTTATAAAATCAATAAGAAATGTGTTTAATTAAACAACTTAATTTAAAATAAAACTATAATATATTTTTATATGATTATGATAATACAAACACTCCTGTTGTATTATATATATATATATATATTGTATATAAGTATATTTAAAAAGGGTAAATGTTTGTTTTTATTTTGTAAAAAATTGGTATAAAATATGGAAATAATTATATTTTTTGATTGTTTGCCCTAAGCATATGTTTTTTTTTGTTATACTATGAATATTAAACGCTAGTAATTTGTGTTGTACAGGTCCACGATGAAGTCTAATCGGTTACCAGACATAATGTCTTGAAGATTTCAAATGAAACCCATAATGATCAGAGACTGGGCTATGAATTCGTTTAACACTGACAACAGTCTATCAGACATAAACAATAGCTTGTTAGAAGTCCATCTCCAAAAGAATACGTCTGCAATCACTAACGAGCACGACTGGCAAAACGAATTGAATACAGAACTTTTTCAAGGATATTCACCAGCCCTGTTAACATTCGCAAGCGTATGTTGTATAATATACATGATGGTTGGTGTTCCCGGTAATCTTATCACCATCATTGCTTTGTTCAGATGCAAAAAGGTAAGTGGTATCAATTGTAAGTTTTTCAGGTCTTAAGAAAGCAAAAAAAAAAAAAAAATACGTACAGTATTATAAGTCTTAATAGACAACGTAGTAGATTTCATTTTATATACTATTTTAAAGGCATATAATAATATATAAACTAATATTTGTTTTACTCATGGCTGAGATAGTACTAATGAAAATAAATAAAAATTAGCTTTGTATAATCGCATTACTTATGTTTGGTTTAGTAAATAATTTCATAGGATTGTTATTAGATGTGTGAGAGGCCATGTTGAATATGTTCTCTGTGTGGTTCAATTTATAAAACCATACGTTTAATATTATTACTAATATTATTATTTTTATGATCATATCAATAAATAAAGTTTTTTATAAAATATTTTGTAGGATAATGTTAATATCTATTTAGCAGATTAAAATAAGTGCAATTTAAGAATTGTTTTGAAGAGTAAATCATATAAATTGTATTTAAATTAAATATTATTTATCGGTAACAAGAATGTACGAAACTTTCGATTTTTATCATCTCCATATAACCATTTGTAATGCAGTAATAAAAATTGAATACTTTGTATAAAAATAGTTGTAAATAATCATATTGCTGGGTTTGTAATAAATCATATCGGACGAACAACTAAAAACATTTTAAGTCGGTCATTCAAAAAATAATCTCAATAATTAAATCGTGTATACGTCGTGCATTGTACATGTATGTATTTTATATAATATATGTATAATATATGTTCCTATGTGTATTTAAACTATTTCAATTCTGTGGGACATAGTTTTCATGTTACTTTATTTACATCATATAGGTCTTTCAGAAGAATGGAATTCTGGTTGAATTTTCGTCAACGACAAGTACATATTACTCACTTAGATACACACATACGAGTATACGAGTATGTACAAGCGTGTAGTATCGTAACAATAAATTTCATGTTATTGACTTAAAAAAATAGATTGAACTTCGGAGGGAGCCGTGTTTGGGATAAACTACTATAATGTATACAATAATCATTGTGTTCAACATTACAATATTATCAAGGCTTGGAATTTAATATCTTCTAAAACCCTAAAAATTGGGTTTAAAATCACTATTCTATCATTTATTATATCTGTCTTATAATTTACTTATATATTTTCCATAATACTCGTAAATTCTTCTTATTGAAATATTGTGTAAAATATCGAATAAAAAAAAAAAAAAAAAAAATTAATAAAAAAATGTTGGTTCAATGATATTTTATGGATATATTAAAAAAAAATTATCCGATAATATAATACTAGTACTTACGTGACAATTTTAAAATAAAATCACGAATTAGAATTCTGGATGTTAAAACTCCGAAAACGCGGTGTGAGCCTCGAAAATATTCTAAGAGATGACGGAAGTACTCTGTTTATCAAAAACTTTCCAGAACTGTTAGAAAACTTTCGTGTTTTCATTGGAGAGTAGGTAAACGAAACAAATTCGTGACAACATACCACACGTAGTTGCGTCGTGTAGAAAGCTTTTGAAAACAATGTGATCAATAAGCGCGTCGAAATATTTAGGCCGTGGTTATCGATCGTTCATTATTCATTCGTCCGAGTACGAATCTCGCACGGTAAACCGATAATTCAGCAAACACTTTACAGTAGCGCGTGAATAACGGTTGTGCCGTGGTGGACGTTCAGCGAGGGGTGATGAGGGGATTCTAAGTTCTTATGGATGCTCGTGCACGTGCATTAACTTGCCGCGAAACATGCCGTATAACCATTCAGATAGCTGTGTGTTATTAGGTTATTTCGCTTACGAGCGTCGAACGTGAATGTTTTAATATTTTTAGTTGAGACATTTTAAAATGGATGTGATTGATCCTGTGTGTTTATGGGTCGTTCACCGATGGATAAATGGACGAAGGCAAAAAAAGGATAGGAAATTTTGGGTTCACTCGATTATAAGAAATGTACTTTCTTTTAGTCTTTTTGTTACATTACGAGTATATCCAAGACTCACATTAACACATTTTTCAACTACTTTAGAATGTTCGTTAAATAATCCAATGACGCAATGAAGATGTCTACTTCCATATTTATATAAACTATGTTTTTCAACAAAAAAAAAAAAAAAATGACCATAAAGTAAACTGACCGCAATGAAACGCGCGCTTAATCTGAACGATCCGTATCGTAATATGAGATATTTCAAATCATGGTAGCACGTGCGCAAATAAATTCTTTGTCGCAATCGACGATGTACAAGAAACCTGTAGATCTAAATACGCGCTATCAACTGACGCGCATCCACGTGAACTAAGCCTAATGTGTGGAAAAACGTACGTGAAATCGCGGTGGTTCGAGTGTGCTCGTCGTCGTTCCGTTTCGCGTTTACTTATTTTAACGTGCGTTTGAACATATTTTGTGTAATTCTAAATGAAAAATGCGCAGTTGTAAATACTATCAATAAATTACATTTCTCACAATAATAAATTTTAGTTATCGACTTCATGACCGAGTGTAGGTATAGGATGATGATAATAATAATAATAATAATAATAATAATGATAATTATTATTTTATTATGACAATATTATTGCACGACTGCAGCGGGGTTTTTAATCATACACAGGGAGTAATATCTTTGAGAGTATGAGGAGGGGGTTGAGTTTTAAGTTTTACGCACTTTTAAAAAAACCTTAAAATAAGCCCTGGACCAGTGGACGATTGTACACGACGACACGTTCCGAGTGCACGACGTAAACGCGATCGACCGCGGCGGCAGTGCGCCCTTAAGTGTTCTGCAGGACGAGACGTGATGCGACGAACGGACGGTTGGACGTGTTGGTGGTGTGGTGGGTGGTTTACGGGCAGGGGTGCAATTAAAGAAAGGGTCGACGGACACCTCGTTCCGTACCCGTCGAAAATGTAATATTATTCGGACCCGGTGTAATTGCACTGCCTGCCGTGTTATTGTTGCGATCCGACTGCCGGGAGGATTATATGTTTTTATCTGTTACAATAGTAATTCGATAACAACAATACGAGACACAATCATGTCTGTGTACACGAATACACATAGAGAACGTTTCAGAAACTGCTGCTGAGGTCGCGCATTGGACACATCAGACGTATGATCATTTTACGCTAATGTGATTCGTACAGTTACTGTATATTGTTACGGAAAAATCGAAAAAATTTTGGATAAATAAGATTCTTATTATTTATGTAGTTCATAATATTACGATCGTATACAATTTTATTAATTAATCAAGTGAATATAATAATTTTAGTAAATCAGAGATAATCTGAATACGTATATAATTAATTGTTTTATATTTATTCAGTACCTTATAATTTCAAACAAGTAACGACTAAATATTTCATTATGTTAGATTAATTTGGTGATATGTCTTCTACTTAACTGAATTGCAGATATTCAGGAAAAATCTCTAAGTTCCTCGTGAAAGAATTTTTTATTGAATGATTTAAGTTGAGTACATTACGTTACGAGTGTTAAATGTATATACATTATGATATATATGTACCAAGAATTGAACCTTGTCTAAAGTTTTGTAATATGTCATTGTAAATGACAAATTTATAAAGTTTTACATATAAGAACATTCGGAATCATGTGATAATTAAATTAGGTTATTCTTTATGTTTATTGTTTAGAGCTCTTCGGTACACTTGGCTTTCTTATATTGTAGTGTAGATTGAATTACATTTTCTGTCGAACCACAACATATAGTAAAAATTCCTAAAAGTTTCGAGGGAAAATGACGTAGAGCACAAAAGCAAATTTAATTAACAGACTTATCGATATACACATAAACACACACACACACACACACACACACACATATATACAACACAATAATTAAGAAATAACGTTAAGGTTAAGTTATGTTAGTAAGTAATTAGTGTTATAATAAACACGACAAATATCGTGGACTGCTGTTTAAGGTTATTAAATTGGTATAATATATATATATATATATATATATATATATATATATATATATATATACAAAGGATTAAAAGAAAATGTTACAATTATTTATAACCATACATAACTATGTATAATATTGCATAATATAAGCATATAGCAACATAGTTTGTATATTATACATCTATGGTATCTTTTATTCTTAAATAATATATAATTTAAATGATTATAAATTAGATTTGAAATAGGTAATTTTTTTTTCTTGTTTATAATATTTATTAATTTCAATTGATAAAATACATAATTTTGTAGATTTTTAATTTGTAAAAATCGTCTATTATTGTGTATTTAGTTTAGCTATTTACGAATATTTTTTTTATATTAAATAGATATTGTAATATATATTTATACAAAAAAAATACATTGTAATTTATAAAAAAATTCTATTTTCAGTTAATATAATTTTGTCTAAGTATATAAAGCACAATTTTATTATTTTTAAATAAATTATTTATTCACTTTTAAAACCTAAAATTGTTTTATTGAGTTTAAATTTATAATCTCAGACTGACTTCATCAAATAAATTATTAAAACGTATTTATCAAGGTAGTAATTTAAATTAAATGAAAATATCTGTTATTAAATAGTGAGTTTTACTATAGATACATTTTTAAAATGTATTATTTATTTAATTTAATTATAAATAATGTGCGCTAAACATTTTATGATTTATAAATATTAAATGTTATCTGTTAATTTATATAATCAATAAACAATTAATATAAATAATTTTATTAAATATTTTAGTAACTATTAATAGGTATAATCGTAATTATAGGTAGTTGCTGACAAGTTCGTATCTAGAAATTTTTTTCGGGAGGGATCAAAAACATGTATATTGTAATTTTAATTGGATTTAGATTTTAACTTTAGATAGTTGGTTAAAAATAAGACAAAAAAGATTTAATCTTCTTTTATTAAAATTAATATCATATTTTCATATGATATTATGATATAAAATTAAAAGCAGTTAATTATTAATTGGAGCTTAAGTCATTT